TGTGTGTGTGTGTGTTTGTGTGTGTGTGTGTGTGTGTGTGATTTCACTTTGACAATTTGTCAAATAATGGTAAGGATGAGCGTAAGTATAACTTAAAATAGTACCAAACAATAACTTTTTGGACAATTGTGCTAGCCAGAAGCATAAGCATCACATAAAATCTTAAACAGAATCAACTAATTACATGTTGAAATACAAAAAAAATCCAATATAATTTAATAAACGTCACATTTCGAGGCTTTTTAAGCCCATACCATACAACCGTACATAGGTCTACAATCCATGTGCATGAATCACATTCATAGCAAAAAATATTCAATACAGTACAGTCAGTGCATTTGCGATCATAATAAATAAGTTGTATAAATACATAGGTGTTTTGGAAAAGTATCTCCTAAATAATTTCAATGGCTCTTCAGTTTGGACCTGTGTTGGAAGACATTAAATCGCTGTTATTAGAACCCTTAAGAATACATATGAAGATATTATAATACGCTGGATTATAGTCACCTTTTAGATGAAGACCTCCACGATTCCTTGCATTTCACAAATACAAAGTCCTGAGCCAAACCTGGTGTTTGGGGGTCTTTCAAACACAACACCATCCTAAACAAAAAAAAAAGAAGTTGCTTTAAGACACCTAAAAGTCTCTATATGTTATTTATTGTAAAAAGAGACAAATTTTCAACAAACTTTTCACAAAAAACATATTTTAAAAGTGGATGTTCAAGATTATATGTTCTGGTTGTGGAACGTTTGTGGGTCATAATTAATGTGATGAACTTCACCTGGTGTTAATCTTCCAGGTTGCCTGAGTGAAACTGAGGAGAACTGTTCTCCTTGAGGTGAATTTTTTCAAGTTATCGTGTTAAAATGGTGCAGAAATGTGATTATTCTTACTTTTCTAATGTTTACAATTTACCCTTTTCAATGAAAAACAGAAAAATACATTGTTTAGGAGGTTCATTTACAAGATGGTGTCCTTTTTGGAGTGTTTCCAGGGTCTTTCTTTTACATGGGTGAGTGTTTAAACACAATACCATTGTCCTCTCATTGGCTACGTTTACATGGACACAAATGGTTTGATTGCAACTGTACTGACGATTCAATCAGATTCTGATGTGTAAACATTGTAAACACATGGGTTCGATCCAACTGAGGTTGATCTGGATGAAATTTTGATGCAGTTAGGAGTGGTTTATTCATTTTGTAATCCGATCCAACAGCAAATATTGAGAAAGTAAATACTTGAATCCCACTTCTGTGTGAATTCAGAAATCTCTAGCGCACGTGCAGTGCAATGTTAGACAAACACATCTTAGAAACTGCCTGTAAAGGACATCCAAATGTAATTAAAACAATATGGATAATATAATTCAAATTAAACAAATAGAGTGGAATTGAAAATAAAGCCAAAAAGAATGAGGTTGCAGTGTCGTTTAGAGTACATCAACAAATCTGTGATCAGATTTAATAGATTCAGATTGACCATAATGAGTGTGTATAAACATAACTAACTGTACATATGCATTTTTGTAAAAATGATAGGAGCGTACTTTTTTTGTGTCTCCCCGGCTCTTATTCTGATTTTTTGGACCCGTAAACCAGAATCTGTTGGATCTCCAGACCACCACGACGAGAGCAGATTGAGTAAAGAGGAAGAGGAGTCCTCCATTTTTAACTTCAGCATCAGCAGATCTCCGATGTCCTTCTCCGTTACGACAAGAAATGAGTGAGTCTTATTGCTGGTGATCTTCTCTTGTCTGTTTGACGATAGTTAACATTTGACTGGTGTAAATTTGACAAATAGTTACAAAACAAACATGGTAACGCATTTAATTTGATGTGAAATGTAAGTAGAAAGACTGAAACACTGTAGAGTTATCTTAAGCTTAAGTATGGAGTGTATTCATTTACATCACAATTTGCTGTATGTGTGGCCATGATGGGAACACTCAGATGTAAACAACAGCATGGATTGCATGTTAATCTTCTGCTGAATACATTGTTCTGCTTATTTATGCTGTCTAAACCACTGAAAAAATGTGTGTTAGCTGCTAAATCGTATAGAGAAGGACTTAGTATTCAGGAAAATATGTAATATTTTGACTAACTGCTTATAATAAGCTGTATTCTGCTAGTTTTGTCAGAACTTTTGTCAGCCTTTAGTACTTTAAATGTTTTTTTTTCTGGTCTGACTGATTAGTAAAGGCCAAAATGTGACAACAATTAGTTGTTTTCAGCAGTAGTAATCTACAAAATATGCAGGTTTTATTCGCTTCAGTGGCTTTGTTTACATTCTTCTCTCCAACATGGCCGACTGATGACGCATCATGAACACTCTTGTTACTCACATGCTCAGCTTCAGATCTTCTGTTTCACCAATGGTACCATAAAGTGAGATTGTCATTGCCGGATCCATCTCTAAATGGTTTATTTGTCCAACGAAGTTGATTTTCAGTTGATAGTGAAAAACTGTAAAAATTAAATAAGAGAGTACTTGTTTCAGCATCTGACAACTAGGGTCAGGGTCAGTCTGAGATGAAGGCCCTTTTCGACAGTCAGGTTTAGGTCAATCTGCAAAAATCCAATAGTTTCTAACTCACGTACTGAGACTTTTTGAATAACATGTCACAAATTATATAACAAATTGTTACAAATTATCTAAAGCAAAAACACCAAATATGAAGTGTGCTTTACACAGGTGAGTGGGCTTGACAAACCACCTGTAGAAACACTTACTCTAGCATTTTACTCTCTGAGCACTAACAGTTCTCTTGTATTATTAGCACTTCCTGTGTGTAGTGCCTCTATGTTGATTTGCTGAATGTCGTTTTGGACAAAATCGTCTGCTAAGTGGAAATATACAGATTTTAGTGTATTCTGCGGCACTATCTGTGCTTGTTTACAACATCACACATACAGTATAGGTGTGGCAGAGGTGTTACACTGTTCTAACCACCACTTTTCCAGTTTCCAACCGGATGCAGATATTTCTTGAGATAATATGCACATATTGACAATCGCAGCCTTGTGAACGGGGCCGAAATTTGTCGTCACTTCATCAAACTAATTGATAAACAAGGTTACGATACAATTCTTCATTGTGGCGGCTCGGTGGCTCAGTGGTTAGCACTGTTGCCTCACAGCAAGCCTGGCTGAACCAGTTGGCATTGCTGTATGGATTTGCATGTTCTCTCTGTGTTTGCAAGGGGTTTCCTCCACAGTCCAAAGGCATGCGCTATAAGCTAATTGGGAAAACAAAATTGGCCGTAGAGTATGTTTGTGTTTGTGAATGCGAGTGTGTGTGTCGGTGTTTCCCAGTACTGGGTTGTGGCTGGAAGGCATCTGGCCTGTAAAAAACACGTGCTGGATAAGTTTGCGCTTCATTTCGCTGTGGTGACGCCTAATTAATAAAGAGACTAAGCCGAAAAAGAAAGTGAATGAATATTAGCAAAATATCAAATAGCACATCAGCAGCGTTGGCTGTTATTAGTTACTAACAGTATTCATTCATTTTCTTGTCGGCTTAGTCCCTTTATTAATCCGGGGTCGCCACAGCGGAATGAACCGCCAACTTATCCAGCATATGTTTTACGCAGCGGATGCCCTTCCAACCGCAACCCATCTCTGGGAAACATCCACACACACATTCACACACACACTCATACACTACAGACAATTTAGACTACCCAATTCACCTGTACCACATGTCTTTGGACTGTGGGGGAAACCGGAGCACCCGGAGGAAACCCACACGAAGACAGGGAGAACATGCAAACTCCACACAGAAACGCCAACTGAGCCGAGGTTCGAACCAGCGACCCAGTGACCTTCTTGTTGTGAGGCGACAGCACTACCTACTGCGCCAAAACTAATAGTATTAGTTACTGTAATTCAATGCCTTATTCACTAAAAAAGTAAAGTAAGGGATTACGTTTTGTGTTTTGTAATTTAATTACTTACTAATAATATAATTAAATACTGCAAAGAAATTAAACATTTGTATGTAATCCAGTTCAGGAAATACAAATATGTTTTTCTGAATTAATAGATTTTTCAACTAAAAGAGGTAACATTTGTCTGACAATCGCATGTGCTTAAGAAACAATGAATTGACTAAGAATTAAAGGACAAAATGATGACATATATGAAATATACATGCACCACAAAAACAGATTTATCTGTTAAACCGACAAGTGCAACACAAACTACTCTCCAGCCTTTATTTGGAATAAAACTTCCAAGTAACTCAACACGTGCAAAGGCAATTACAAGCGTGGTAGGAGTACTTATAGCCGCGGACATGCGACCTCATTCAGTGATAGAAAACTCTGGTTTTAGGCATTTAACTAGCATGCTAGAACCGCACTACAAAATCCCAAGTAAAACGCATCTCACAGCTATGGTGATACCCTCCATGTAGAATAAACTGAAGGAGAAAGTTATAGAAGGTCTCAGCAGTGCATATTTAGTAGCCTTGACTAAAGATTGCTGGACCTCCAGAGCAACACAGAGCTTCATGACTGTCACAGGTATTATTATATTGCATAAAAGTCTTAAAATTGTGCTTTTTAAAATTTTTCTTTTTTAAATCAAGAATCGAATCGAACCGTGACTTTAGAATCGAAAATGTAATCGAATCGAGTATTTGGAGGATCGTGACACTCTTAGATATTATACATACACAATATAAGGTTTAATTTGTCTAAAATAAAGCTAAAAGGCCCTGTGGTATTGAGTCAAATAATTATATTACTTATTAACTAATTCAATTATTTTCAGATAACTTAATTTAAATACAATAGTAATGATGTAATTAGTTATTAACTACTGTTTTGAAGTAATTTACCCAATACTGTACATCAGTGATACAAAAAAAACTGACACTTACCTCTGAACGGCATGGAGCCCCGTGTCTTGGTGAACATCTTGACACTTCTAGCCTTGCGGACTTTGCTAATGTCATAGCCCACAGTGTTGCAGCCATTCTTGCGACACTGAAGGCAGACACCGCGGTCGAACATGTCATTACTCCCACAGCTGTAGGCCCTGCCGGCGGCTTCTTCATTCAGCAGCGAGTCGATGAACAGGTGGATGGACCGCTCGTGCTCGCATCTGATGGCGTTATTTATGGCTAAGGGTATAAATAAAGCATTGTATATTCGAGTTTGACCATAAATGTCACCAAAAGTTAGTGTCTGGATTCTTGAAATAGATGAATGGGTTCATTGTTGAAAGGTTGTAGCGGGTTTTATTGCAACCATGCCAAAATGGATTAGAAAGGCGGATTATGAAAAATGTGATTATGAAATGCTGTCACAACCTACTCTTGATTTAAAACCGATCCTGTTCTGAAATTCTCACTTGAGGAATGATACAGATAGCTGATAAATTAGTGCCACAGTTCAAATAAAATATATTTATATGTTTAAGGTTATTAGAGGAAAATTCACAGCCTTTTAATAATAAATTATTTCGTATTAATACATTTTTGTATTAATTTATTCTTAATAAAAATTTAAAGAAAATTATTCTTATATATAATTTTTGTTGACTTTATAAACCATCTGAAAATTACTTTATCATATTTATTAATAAAAAACAAAATATTTCCATAAATATATATATTTTTAACTAAATATATAAGTGATTACTATGGACAAATATCAATATCTGAAATTTTATTTACCTTTGAAATATTTAAATATAACATTACAAATTCATATGATTATTTAATATAAATAACATAATATATTATTTAATGTGTATATATGCACACATTTTCTCCACAATAAATATGTCTTTCTGTATATATAATTGCAAATGCATATATTTACCAAATATTCCATAACTAGCCATTTTCTCCAGTGCTCCTCTCAAATTGCAGCCGGGCTGGAAGCTTCCACCATTGGGGTAAATATCCACATGACCCACCGGCTGCTCAATTCCAATACTGAGACCTAGAGAACCTCTGGTGAATGTGTGCAGGACGTCCACAAAATGGGCATCATCTGGGGACAGTCGTCCGTGAGCATGAACCCCTTCAAAATCTGGTCCAGCAGGGTCTAGACCTGCAAAATAATATAAATACTTGACCCCTGTGTTTCTGTGAAGTTTTAGCTCAAAATTTCACACAGATACTTAATTAATGCAAATTGCAAATATCAAATTTGCCCCTTTTTGTATGTCACTTTAAATGCAAATGAGCTGCTTTCTAGAAAAGGGCGGAGCCTATATATACTACTCCAGAGACAACAAAACAAGCAAATCTAATGCTAGTTTACAACTTTTAGACTAAACAAGAACATTTCTGAACAATTAGTGGATACATTTATATAGTTGTGGTGAAGTAAAGTTGATTCAATGTGTTGAACTTTACAACATTGCATTATTGGTACAATATTCTTATCTTTAAATAACGTAAAAAGTCTGTTGCCTGATTATACTGCTCGCATAAAAGGTGTGTTATGTAATTACAGTGTTTTCTCTGGTCTCTGTGAATACAGTCAGATTCAATAGCAGCTTTAGCCATATTAGCTGTACAGCAAGCTAACATGCACATTCAGAAAGGACATTTGTGAATATTTTGAAAATATAAAGCATGTATGAGACTTTACTGACATCCTCAGCACATCTCTTCTGCAAATTACAGAGGGGTTGAGCCAACTAAATGAGTCTTGATCTCCACAAAAGCATATAAAACTCTTTAAACTTAGTTTAGAACATAGTTTGCACCAACTTGTATCTTAAATAGTAATTCATTCATTTTTATTCGGCACCACAGCAGAATGAACCACCAATTATTCCAGCATGTTTTACACAGCGGATGCCCTTCCAGCTGCAACCCAGTATAGGGAAACATCCATACACACTCATTCACACACATACACTATGGCCAATTTAGTTTATTCAATTCACCTATAATCCATGTATTTGTACTGTGGGGAAAACTGGAGCACCAAACAGAAAAGCTAACTGACCAAGCCCGGACTCGAACTAGCAACGTTCTTGCCTTAAATAGTAATATTATTAATTAAAAATAATAAATAATATACATTTGATTACCCCTATAATGGTTCATACCATTGTGAATGCATGATTGTGCCCAGCAAGTTATACATGAAAATGTTCAGTCAGCAGTTTGAAATGGGGAGATCTAGCCTACTAGTGTTCACATAACACTTTTATTATAAAATGGGTGTCTGTATCTAAATATTGCCTATAAGTGAAGTACATTTTGATTTATATAGTGAATTTTATAGATTCCAATGGAACTACTAAAGCAACTGGCCCTCCTCTGATGGTCTATCTGTAATTCACACAATTTTCTCAGTGGCGTGGATGTCATGAGTTCGCAATGTTTTTTCTGGCACGGCCATTGTAAATCTGTATCTGCTCCAGCAAATAAACATAAATGGAAAATCTGCATGTTTTCTGGGTTGGTAGATGCAACAGGAACGTGGGAAAATTCAGATTTTCATCATCATGTCCCTTTTATGACCTGTTGTTGTAAATAAGAAAGCAAACAAACCTGTGATTCTTCCGATTTTGTTTGTAGTGTGACTTCCTGCAAAACCCGCAACGTGTGCTCCGAGGCTGTAGCCAATGAGGTGCAAGTTCTCCAGAGGAACATTAGATGTTTCCTTATGAGTTAAACATGAGAACATATTAATATCTGAAATTATGTTTGTTATGAAGATTTGATTTGCTGGCACCAACCTCTATCCAGTCTATGAAGAGTCCGATCTCTCGTCCCACCATCTTTGTGTTTTGTGCCGCCACCACATAATGATCCTGTGCCGTGTCCAACCAATCCACGACGATAACGTTAGCATCTTTCTCACGGTTGTACAGCGCTGCGACCAGTTTCTCAACCCAGCTCTCAAACAGTCCACTCACCTGAAGAGGTGTTACATTGGCATGACTATAGACCGTTTTGAAGGATGTAAACAAAAACAATGGTCCCAATGTGTTTCCTGTTTTACTTTTCAAACTTTTATCGCGTCCGAGAATCCAAAAAGAGACACATATTGATAAGTAATGTTATGATAGCTGTTTTAACATTAAGCTATGATTGAATTGGCTCTTGTTATAGTTATAAAATAGTTTGATAACAAGCAGGAAATGTTCAAGGGCCAATAGCTATGTTTTCCATCCAGAAATGCGAATTAACTTTATGCGCAAAACTAGATCACATAAACGATGTGCGAATAAAGCAGCATTTCCATCCATTTCCAACTCAAAGTGAGTCAAAGCGAACAAAATCATTAGTTCCTGATTATCTGGAGCCAAATATCAACAGTAAAAAGAGAATTTACTGCGATAAGAGAAGCTGCATTAATAGTTTCTTCATTTAATAAATGACTTGCGCCTCAGAAGGCAATCCTAACACGCAATGAATGTGCGGTGGTGTTTGAAGGCATGAGACGTGGAGCACAGACCCTCTTGATTCTAGAGGTCATTAATAATATAATAACACTAATACTGAGATGGTTAAGATGTTTCAGAATGAACAAAACAACATTTGAGATGTTTTACAACTGTGCGAATGGATGTGCGAATGGACAAGCCTGCAATGGACAATCTCTTATAACAAAATCACATGACCTTTTTAATGCACATGCTGGAATTTGTTCAGTAAATTTGTTTCCATCAAAGTTTAAGCGCATCTTTTCCTATTGAATAAAAAGTTTCTCCTACTTAGTTATGCGCATGTTTTTTATGCACATTTTCAAAATGTATGCGCATCTTGGCGTTTCTATCAACCGTTTGTTTATGCGCATATTCAAAATGAGCATAAAAATAGGTGGATGGAAACGTAGCTAAAGACATCACCACGTTGAAATTGTCTATATGGGGTGAATGGGAAAAGAGTCAGTTGAGCTTATTGATTTTACCGTCCAGCCGTGGATAACCAAAATGGTTTTTGACGTGTGGTTGAAGTTGCAGCTGCTGAGAGTTTCCGCTTTGCCACGTACAATATAGCAGACGTCGTCATCTGGTTGGGACGGATTTCTTAGAGAAAACTTTACGTTGAGTTTTTTGACATCTGACAGATCCCTTAGATCCTCCAGAAAATGATCTATGTGAGGGTAACAGTCATTGAAAACAATATGAAGTCAAATTTTTAAAAAAATTATTTGAAAAATCCATTTTATGTAATTAGACATTTTAGTTGTCATGTAAATGAAATATAACTCTTAACAACATAATTTTCTATGAAACAATAATAATATACCTTCATTAAAGTAATATTTAAAAATATTTCTTTAACTATTACTATCTACATAAAAACAGTAAAGGACACAAAATCTAAGGCAAATTAAAGATATATAAATAGAAATATATTACTTTGCTATATCATTAATATACTATTTTAATTTGACACTAATAATATCATAAACTTTTTTTAGTAATAGTTAAAATATGTATAATATAATATACACATAAATCTACATGCTCCAGATGTGACGCAAAGGCACATTATTGAAAAAAAAAATATTGAAAAATTATTGAAAAAAAATGAATGAAAGAAAGAAAAAATAAAGAAAAAATAGCGAAAGGACAAACATATTTCCATTGTTCAACTCACCTGACATAACAGGTGGGTGGAGCAATAGTGCCATACAATATAACACCTTTAATCGATCTTATTAGCCAGCATATGAACTTAACATTTGAGAAATAATTTTTAAACAGCATTAAAAATCTAAACGACTCTAATATAATGCAACAATGTGCAAAACGTTAATGGACCAGCGTCCTTTAATATCCGGCTTCCATTAATTAAAGTTCCCTCATGTAAAACGCAGGATTTACAGTGTGGATTTGATGACATTATACAAGAAACAACTGCGGCACTTCAAAACAAGAAAACAACGCCTCGGGTTATCCTCATCCGCTCCTCCCGCAACATCAGTAAACTTCTCAAGTCTTACCAAAGACTCCGTTCAAGACGTTTCCTTCCTCCAGAGCAGCGATGAATGGACCGGTAATGTTCAATACAAGCCACAGGAAAACGCACAGTAGTGACCGAATGTTCATGTCTTTTCTGCGTAAACTTTGCGCACGTGTGATCTTGGCCGATAACTTTCGCGCGCGCGGACTGCTGCTAAAAGACTGAGAGGAAATGAAATTTGCGCGAACTCCTTCAATAACCACACTAAAACACTCTGAGCCTCAGAATTCAGCTATGCTCCTAAATAGCATTACTAAGAGCCACTGGTCGCAGCCCACAGGCGGGGTAAAACATTTGACGAGTCTGTCAGTTAATCTTTTTTTATAATAGTATTTTTGACTTGGTTGACACCGTTTAACTGACTCCTATCTATCTATCTATCTATCTATCTATCTATCTATCTATCTATCTATCTATCTATCTATCTATCTATCTATCTATCTATCTATCTATCTATCTATCTATCTATCTATCTATCTATCTATCTATCTATCTATCTATCTATCTATCTATCTATCTATCTATCTATCTATCTATCTATTTTGTTTATATTGTTTCTTTTTGTTTTATCATTCAATATATTGCTTGTTAGTTTGTTTTTGTCTATCTATCTTATCTGTCTGTCCATCCATCCATCCATCCATCCATCCATCCATCCATAGCAATTGTTTTTGTTTTTATTGTTTGACTGTCTATCTATAAGCTTTTTTTGTTTGTATTGTTGTTTCTTTATTGTTTTGCTATTTATCATTTAATAAAGCAATTGTTTGTTGTTATCTATCTATCTATCTATCTATCTATCTATCTATCTATCTATCTATCTATCTATCTATCTATCTATCTATCTATCTATCTATCTATCTATCTATCTATCTATCCATCTATCCATCTATCTATCTGTTGCTTTTTTTGTTTGTATGGTTATATTTTTGTTATTCTTTTGCAATCTATCTTTCTATATAGCCATTGTTTGTTTCTATCTGTCTGTCTGTCTGTATTTGCATATTTGTTTATAATTTGCTATCAACCTATCTTGTCTGCTTCTGTTCTATCTTTTGGTTGTTTATTTATTTTCGTTGTTTGCTTTCTGTGGTTCTAGCTGTTGATTTTAAAATGTTGGCTCTTTATATATCATTATATCATTCTACATATTTATTGATTGGTAATTTGTTTTATTTTAATGTGGTGAAATGTTCTACATAACATTGTTTGTTCGTTTAGTTTATTTATCTTTTTTTTCTTTGTTTTACTTTTGGTTTGATCTGTCGGTCAATCTTTCTTCCATCATGTCAGAAAATTCAGCATTGCCATTGCAGGACTAATTTGTATTTTAAAATATATTAACACAAAAGTTATGTACAATTTTGTTCCTTATTCCTAACTTACTGACTGCTATAGTGTATCTACAATCAGAGCCCAGAGACTGCATAGACCTCTAGACAGTATATAATCTTAAACTGAACAACCATGTAATTGGGTCAGATGGGAAAATTGACAATTTTTTCCCCTTTTTTTCTTTGCCAACAACCTGTTATATCAAGAATGTTGACATAAAAGGTTATGTCAATATTCATGGAAAACTTGAATGAACAGCATAGAGGAGAGTGAATAACAAACAACAAAAACACACTCAAATTTCTTTCGTCATTCAAGGCATAACTTATAACTCATTATGTGGCTATCTATGTACTCAGTGCTCTAAGTCAAAGTCACAACATTACACTCAGACCCTGCCAAAACTCTTAATGACAGCTGCGTCATCTGTTATAGCGTAAACCACCAATGATGTTATGAGCCAAAAAGTTCTTCGAGAAATAAAACAAAGTAATGACCTGTCACATGCTCTTTAGCAGATGGAAAAGCAGATGGAAACACTTCTAGAAATCATTGCCCACTGTACAAGAACTCAGAGGAGGTCAAAAATGCCTTCTCCGAAGAATTTTTAGAGCCAGAATCAGATTCAGATCCCCATATCTAATGTTTTTACTCCTATAAGTGATAACTTGGCAGAAGTAGTGTATATAAAAAAAAATCAACCTTGAGATTTCACAACCTTGCAGAACATTCTGACTAATGAAAGTATGGGAATGCTGTATTTTCATTCCAAGAACCTGCTCTTCCATGAAAAGGGGAAGAGGTCTTGAAAAAACAAGCTTCTTGTGTTTTGATTCGAGGTTCCTGCACGTGTGTTGGTTGCTCTCTCATTAAACAATAGAGGGAGTCAATCTCCCCAATCTCACTTTTCTTACTCACACATTGTTGTTATTTGAATGGCGGATGCTCCATTCACGTAGTACCAAGCCAACATAAACAAAACAATGACAGGTGGGTTGTCTTAGTAATTATGTTTTATTAGATTCCATAAAAGATCAACTAAAAAAATCTGCGTGTGTGTGTGTGTATGTATATGTATGTATATATATATATATATATATATATATATATATATATATATATATATATATATATATATATATATATATATATATATATATATATATATATATATATATATATATATATATATATATATATATATATATATATATATATATATATATATATATACACACACA